CCCAGAGGATTCAGGCAGCAGGTGGGGGGGGGGGGTGTGTGTGCCAGAAGCTGATGCCCTCCAGGGTCCAGCTGCCTCCCTCTGACTGATCCTCAGCCCTCTGTGTTCCTCTATCTCTCCTTCCTTAGTGAGGGTGAAACCTCTGTGTCCAGGGGCCCTAGCTCTGCCTCTGACTGCTCTGTGATCCCAAGCTAAGTCCTGCCCCATCTATGTGGTGCAGAAGAGGATGGTCTCCCTGAGGCTAAGAGAGTTTCTACTGTCACTCAGACCTCCCTGTCCAGTCTCTCCATCTTGGGTTACCTCTGTGGTCTGTCCCTTCCGGTGTCTCTTGTTCTCTCTCTCTCTTTGTAACTGTCTTTCTCCCTCTTCCACTTTCTCCTCCTCTCTCAGCTTTTGGCTCTGTCCCCCAAGTGAAACTCTTCAGCTACTGAGGTGGGCAGGGTGGGGGAGGTGGAGAAGAGGAGGGCACGGTCGATTCCAGTGCCCTGCTTGGGGTCAAGCGCTGACAAAGGGGCATCAGCCCCCCCCCCACACACACACACATTTGGGCCATGGAACAGCTCAGAGGAAACCCAAGACAAAGAATTCTATTCAGACAGGCTGGGGTGACGAGACAGAAGGACAGGGAGACAGACACACACACATAGAGAAGCAGAAAGAGAGAAACAGAGAGAGCTGGAAGGCAGAGAGACAGAAAGGGACAGAGAGAGCACACAGAGAGAAATGTGGGGATATGTAGGGACAGAGACGCAGAGGCAGAGAGACTCAGAGGAGAGAAGCAGGGACAGAGAGCCAGACAGTGAAGGATAGAGGGACAGGCAGACACACGTGAAGAGGCATGAAGGGCTCCCTTGCTCCCCACCTCCATCCTGCCTGGCCCTCCGTGCTGAGCTGGCCGCGTCCCCAGACTTACCTCGGATGCGCAGTGTATGCTGGGGGCCACGGCCCATGACTGGAGTCAGGGGGACAGCATCCTGGAGCCAGAGTAGGTCCACGGGCTCTGGGGGTCCCTGGGCCCAGCAGCTCAGGTTGAAGGGGGTATTGGCGGCCATGGCCCTGTCCTCCGGCTCCTCCAGGAAGTAAGGCAGGCCTAGGGAGTGGTAGTGGATGCTGAGGTCCCTCTGAGCCCCCAAGGTGTCTGACTCACTGCTAGGATAGGGCAGGCTTCAGATGCTTTGACCCCTATGTCTGATCCCTCAGGACACCCATACTTCCTTCCGATGCCTGACTCCTCAGGTCTCTACCCCCAGAACACGTGATCCCAGTATCTGACTCCCCCACCAGTGTCCGAACTCCAGGACACCTGAGTCCCTTACGTCTCTTTTCCAAAATGTCTGGCTCCCAGTCCTATTTTACCAACGAGGAAAGCGAGGCCCCAAGGGGTGGAGGAGAGGGTTCAGTGGCACCTCTGGTCCCTTAGCTGATCCCCAGAGTATCCTACCCCGACCATGTCTGACCCCAGGACATGCCACAACCCCCAAGATGTCTTCTACCCCAAGACATATAATCTCACCCAGGCCTGCCCCCAGTAATTTAGAGACTTCCCAGCTTCCCAACCCCTAACAATCTCTGACATTCCTAGGCTGCGAGTCCCCCAGGGGACACCCTGAATTCCCCAGCACCTTCTAATCACTCAGGCTTCCTGCCCTCCCATGACCTCTGAGCCCAGGGCTCACCCTCCAGCCCAACATAGCCAGGCTGGGACAGGAAGGTCTTTCCTCCCAGGTTCACGGCACACTGGTACCACCCCGCGTCCGAGAGCTGCAGGGATGAGATTCTAACAGGGCAAGAGGAGAGACAGAAAGGCTCAGGGTCAGAGCTGCATACTGAGAGAATTGAAATAAGGGGTCTGGACTGGAAACTCTTCGGGGTTAAGAAGTGGGTACTATTATTAACTCATTTTACAGAAGAGGAAAGTGAAACCCAGGGTTACATCACATGCTCGAAGCCACATAGCCAGCGAGTGGCCACACTGGGGTTCCAGCTCAGGGGGGGCTCCCGCCCATAACCTTTCACCCGCCATGCGATGGAGGTCGGGGGGGTGGGGGGGAACAGGGGTCGGGAGGCATGCAGTTGGTCAGGGTGGGGCTGGGGGGGGTGGGAGGGGGAGGCTGAGCACCTGAGTTGGCTGACCACTTTCCATTCATCCTCCCCGTCTTCGCCCAGGGGCACCTGCATCTGGGTACTGTCGGCCAGCTCTAACACCTGTCCATCCCGAAGCCAGGTCACCTCGGGGGGCTCCCCCTGAACCTTGAGCTCACACCGAAGGGTCCCCACAAGTCCCCGGGCACCGGTGATGTTCCTTGGACTCTCCACGAAAGGGTCTGCCTCAGCCTGTGTGCCTGCAAGGAGATGGGCAAAAGTTAGCTCAGGAACCCCTACTTTCCTCCCAGCCTGCCAGGCCCTTAGGCCCACATAGTTGTAAAGTGACCTCAGCAGGGTGGGTGGGGTGGAGGGTGGAGGCTTTGGGGGAGGATGGGAGCCTTCCCAGGAGACTGGGGTCCGGCCTCCATCCTTCCTATAGGGGCCCCCATCCTACGTCTGTTGGGAAGTAGGCCGGGGATCTGGCAGCCTCCCACGCCCTGGACTGCCCGACAGGGCCAGCCCCGGCCCCCACTGCCCTCCCTTAGGGTCTCTAGAGACCTGACGGATTGGGCTGGTGGATGGCGGGGAAGAAAAAGAGGTGGGGAGGGAGAGAAGAGAGAGAGAGAGTAACAGGGAAGGAGAGACAGAGACGCAGAGAAGCCAGACAAAGTCAGGCATGAGGAGTCGGAGACAGCAGGGAACGGAGACTGGAGGAGAGACACAGAAAATAAGCGATGAGGAAAGAGACACCCCTGAGAGGGGAAAAAAAGTTGGGGGGAGAGACACAGAGGGAAACAGACAGAGAGACGACATCATAGAGACACTTAGAAAATAGGGAGAGATGAAGACAGAGACCAGGACAGAGAAATGAAGCCCCCCGGAGATGGTGGAGCTGAAGCTAGAGCCAGAGACCCCTGGCCCAGAGATGGAGTGGACAGTGACGGGGTAAGGACAAGTGGGGGGTGACAGTGGCGAGGGTTTTCCTGAGAGCTCCGGAGCCCTCCTCATCCCACTGCTTGACTTAGTACTCCTTTCTGGAAGATTCCTTCCGGGGCAGCCCCCAGCTGAGGTCGGCTCCCCAGGGCCCCCAAGTTAAGTCCAGCTCCACTCCTGCCCCCAGTTTCTCTGTCTGTCCGTCTCCCTCTGTGTCCATGTCTTTCCGTCTCTGACCCTCCCAGTTTCTGTTTCTTACCCTGTTCCTCTCTGAGCCCCTTTCTCCCCACCCCCCCACCCCGGCCTTTCTCCGTTAGTGTCTGTGTCTCCCTGTCTCCCTGTCTGTTGTCCCGAAGACACTTCTCCAGCCGGCCCAGACTCCCCCAACACCTGCCATAGCTGCCCCCCCCAACTCCGCTCCCTCCTGCCCCAGCCCAGCCACGCTGGCCTTCCCCCGCAGGCCCCTAGCACTCACCCTTGGGGGCCACGCACCCCCAGCAGCACAGCGCCCAGCACCAGGCCAGCAGGACCCTGCCCATCCTCGGGGCACCACTCGAACGATGCCAAACTTTCCTCAGAAGTTGCCGGGCACGCCGTGGGGGTGGGGGCAGGGCCGGGCTGTCCCCAGCCCTCCCCCCAGCTCCGGGCTCCCCGGATTTGGCACTGCCTGCCTGCCACGGAGGGCCCCTTGCCGGCTCTGCTCAGCGGCCGCCTCCCCTGCTCCCCTGCCTCCTACTCTCCCTCCCAGACTTCGGGCAACCCTTTCCCCGCCCCTGGCTCCCCCTCTGCCTCCGCCCACAGGACGGAGCCCAGGGGGCCACCTGGGCTTGGAGGGGTTAACCCGGGGAGGAGAGGACCAGCCCTGTCTTAAAGGGGCCCCGGAGCGGAGCGAGGCTGAGGAGGGGGAAGGGGCCCCGATGGATGGACCCCTAATCCTGGGCCAGCGAGGCAGAGAGGCTAAGCTCGCTATCCTGGCTCTGGGCGATGTCCCTCTGGACTCTCTCAGTGTCTGGTAAACAATTCCTCCAGAACTCCACTCCCCTCTCAGCCTATGCGACTCCCCCCTGCCCTGCCTCCACCCCCACCCCCAGCCCAGCCCCAGCCCCAGCCAGACACTCCCCCTCACTCTCGCAGCACCGCTGATGAGGACACACACACTCAGATGTCATCCACACACAGAGGCTGGGACAGCAGGGGACAAGCAGGGGCACGTTGCTGGCCCACGGACCCACTCAGACAAGCCGGGTCAGGAACTCCGTTCCTGCAGAAACTCAGAAACCAGGAACGGGAAGACGCGGCTCAGCGGGCATCCCCTGGATAGACTCGGGCAGACATGGATCCTTGTAACAAAAAAAAGACCCATGTGGGCGCAGAAACAGGACGCCAGTGTATGGGCACTCACAGGGGTGCCCGAAGATGTGGGTTGGAGTCTCGGCTCTACCTTTAACTGTGTGACCTTGCCATTGACTCCCCCCACCCCCACAGCCTCTGTTTGTCCATCTATAAGATGGGACTAAGAATAGGGGGGCCTGGGTGGCTCAGTGGGTTGAGTGTCCGACTTCAGCTCAGGTCATGGTCTCACACTCCATGAGTTCGAGCCCCGCGTTGGGCTCTGTGCTGACAGCTCAGAGCCTGGAGCCTGCTTCGGATTCTGTGTCTCCTTCTCTCTCTGTTCTTCTCCCCCACCTCACTCCGTGTGTGTCTCTCTCTCTCTCTCAAAAATAAATAAAGATTTTAAAAAATTCTTAAAGAATAGAACCCATTTAGTAGGCTAGAGGGAGGATATGTGAGGTCAGTGCGTGTACGGTTCTTCTTCGCACGTGGTAACACAGCTGACAAGGTGCCCTTGAGTTTTTGCGTCTCATCTGTTGGTCTCTCGCCTTGCTGTCTCCCTCTGGTGGGACTGTGCATCCTGGCGCCTGTGTGTTGATTCAATTGCTTGTCCGTTTCTGTGCCCCTCTGTGCTGTGTACGTGGTGGGGGGTGTCTCTACAAGCCTGGGTGTCTATGCAGGAGGGGGCTGGGCATTCATCTCTGTGTGTACCAGTAGGCTCCTCCCCACCCCCATCGTCTAGCCCCATCCTTCCCCACAGGGCTATGCCCTGGTTTCCTCCTTGGCCTTCTTGCCTCCCCGTGGCCAGAGGGTTGTTTCTGCAACTCAGCTCTCACCCTGTCCCTCTCCTGCTTAACTATGACCCACCACTGTGCTGGGGCTGAGCTCTCAGCCCCTCAGCCTGGCACTTAGGGCTCTTCACCAGAGGCTTCCCTGAGCTGTCTCCTGTGTGTCCCATCTCAGTGACAGAGTCAGCATCCATCCCGCCACCAAGGCCAGACCCTCAGGGTCCTCTTGGACAACCCCCCCCCTGCCCCCTCCCCGCAGTAAGTGACTAAGTCCCCATGCAGGATGGAGGAGCTTCATAAACCTCTCTCCCACCTGGTGCTGCTGTCCTCCCCTTGACCTCACCACGGTCCAGTCTGACCTCCTCAGTGGTCTCCCAGCCACCACCACTGTCCCTCCTTCTAACCTGTAGACAGCGACACAAGACAAATGTTTCTCAATCCCGAATCAGATATTTCTCCTTCTTTGCCCCAGACCTTCCAAGATGAAATCTCAAACTGCTGACTGCATGTTCCTTCCTGTCTACCTAGCCTCCCATTCCTGTCCCCAGGCTTCTCTCCCTGCTCTGTGGCCTTGTCCTTATCACCTGCACACCCACCAGTCCCATGTCGGTCATCCCCCCTCAATTATGACTCTGCCGGCTCTTCCTGGTCTAATCTAGGTCTCCTGTTGTCCACTGTCAACACTTCTGTCCTTTTTTTTGGCAATACAGCATGGGCCATCATGATATATTCATTGGCACATATATATTATGTGTCTGATGTCTGTCTCCTCCTGCTGCTCTGTGGGCTTTGAAAGGACAGGGACTGGGTATATCTTGGTCACCACTGCATCCCTACCACCCTATAAAAGGCCTGCCATAAAGGGGCCAATTAATTATTGTGGGTTTTTTTGGGGGGGGCACAAATTTTATGCAAAGGTTTGCCCACTTGTTTAAATACTTGTTTAAATACACTGGGAGAGGGGTGCCTGGGTGGCTCAGTCGGTTAAGCATCTGACTCTTGATTTCAGCTCAGGTCATGATCTCATGGTTCATGAGTTTGAGCCCCGAATCAGCCTCTGTGCTGACAGTGCAGACCCTGCTTGGGATTCTCTCTCTTAATATAAATAAACTTTAAAAACAAAGGTTTATATACACTGGGCGAGGGGCGCCTGGGAGGCTCAGTCGGTTAAGTGTCTGACTTTGGCTCAGGTCATCATCTCCTAGTTCTTGGGTTTGAGCCCTGAATCAAGCTCTGTGCTGACAGTTCGGAGCCTGAAGCCTGCTTCACATTCTGTGTCTCCCTCTCTCTCTGCCTCTCCCCCATTCACACCTCTGTCTGTCTCTGTCTCTCAAAAATAAATAAACATAAAAATAAATAAACACGCTGGGGGACCCTGCACACCTAGAGTTCTGTGCACCTGGCTGTGTGCATGGCCAACTGGAATCTGTGTTTGCTCACTCAAGAACTATTTGCTGAGCACCTACTACGTGCTTGCAATTTACTTCCAAATGCATTTAAAAAATGAAATGGACGGGTGGACAGAAATGTTCCGTGTGCCGGAGGCTGGGGATTCCACAGCGAGGGAGACAAACGTCTACCCTCATGGAGTTCATATTCCAAGGCGAAGAGAGACAACAACCAGGTAAAGGTTTATCAGGGTGCATTATGGGCAACGGAGAAACACAAAGCAGGGGAGGGAATATCAAGGGGTGAGAGTGCCATTAAAAAATTTTTTTTTCGGGGCACCTGGGTGGCTCAGTCACTTGAGCATCCAACTAAAAAATTAAAAAAAAAAAGCATTGAAAAAAATTTTTTAAAAATTTTTTAATGTTTACTCATCTTTTTTGAAAG